TTGCAACCGCACCGTTAGTATATTTTTGGTGGAATAAGAAACTCCTGAAAAGACCCTAACAAACGAAAGGCGTCATCGGTGAACAAAGAAAACTGGTCTGACTAACTTCCCATACTTCTGCGCATAACTTTTTCCACACTGATTAGCTGGAAGCCTTGTGCATCACGACACCTCACCTCCTTCATACGTGATCCATACATTAACGCCGTCTCGACTCGTTACGATATCTTTGACGGTCACGCTATCATCCGGCAGATACAGCGACGATGAGAACGAAAACTTGTCTTCTTGACTCAGATGGTGGATTGATATACGGCCTTCTGAATGGCCAGTCCAGATTTGCCTGGAATGAATTCTGAACGTCCTTGGACCCTGGCCCAATGTCGTCTGCCTACCTGCTAGCAGCCTGAACAACTACGGAAGCGGTCTTGATCGAATATGGACTTTCGAGACTTGCCAACAAACCAACTGAATTTGTTTCGCTAATACGAAGAAGTATGAGTTGGCGCTCGGTAACAAGCAGCAAAATATCAGTTCCTATCATTTCCGGAGCACGGATCTATAAAAATAGGGGATTTCAATTGCCGAAAAATTGCTTTTTTCAGCTTGGCATTTCTCAAAGAGAAAAAGAAAATAGAAAAGCAAATGGATAACCATATAACTATACATAGTGAGAGAGAAATAGACATCATCGACACCACTTACAATGGGAGCACCAAGCGATGGCAGCTTCAGTCTTCCTAATTCGTGCAGAGACGTGGCAAAAACGGTGACTTCACCATTCTCATCACATGACCAAATGGTGTCCCTCACTCTACTAGTAAACCGCGTCCTGAAGGCGGTTTCGATCATCTGGAATCGTGAGACATAAACGAGCTCCAAATCTGCGACAGATGCCTTGAAAAACCTTTTGATCCAACCATCCATACTGAGTGCAACTCATAACGGTAATGTTTTTTCCTCCAAGCCATAACTGCGCTTCAAAGTCGTCCGGATCGTCCACTTCATCGCCAGTGTGATATGGCAATATGCAAGATGGCGGTAGAGCTTCTGAATTTGTCTTTATGCTTGCAAAACTCGCCGACAAAGCCATTAGAGGAAAACAGTTTATCAATGGAAAGAAAGAGAGGGATTAGACAAAGATGAGAGAACCTAAA